TTTTTTCCCGGTAAAGTCACGTAGGAATAAGAAAAATAAAAATAAAATTACATAATATACGACGTTTCGATTGCAACACAAGCAATCATCACGCTGCTCAGCGACGTTGAGGATTTAAAACGAATTTTACTTGTTATTTATTTAGTAATGTTTTTTTAAATATATAGAGAGACCACTCGTGTTTGTGGCCTGTTCCATCTTTGTTGCAGTGATACAAAGCACCTTCATTCTTCTTCTTGAGCATAGCAATCTGTCGTCTGTGATGGCTCTAGCTGGAACCCAACGTTGTGTAAATTGTACAAGCCGTGACTATAAAACACACGAGGTTTTACCACGTAATTGTACAGGCTGTGACTATAAAACACACGAGGTTTTACCACGTAATTGTATAGCCCGTGACTATAAAACACACGAGGTTTTACCACGTAATTGTATAGCCCGTGACTATAAAACACACGAGGTTTTACCACGTAATTGTATAGCCCGTGACTATAAGCACGAGGTTTTACCACGTAATTGTATAGCCCGTGACTATAAGCACGAGGTTTTGGCCACGTTGTGTAATCGTGTGTGTCTCCCGTGGCACGTGTTGGCGGTCACTTCCATAAAAGTCAGGATGGTTGCGTTCTTGAAATATGCTGCCAGAAACCACATTTTCGCAGGAAAGGCTTACAAAATATTGCACTCAACACCAATTACCAATACCAGCCATTCGCCTCGAAGTGGCGTCACCACGGCGGCTGAGCCAGGCTAGGTGCACTTTGAGTGCTGCCACGTGAAGTGTCGAAGGCTCGCTGCTGACAGGAGGAGGTCACGGGACAGACCCAGCAGGTGCCATGGATTGGCACCTGCTGGGGGTCTCGGGACAAACACAAAGATCCCCCGTGTAGCCTTAACAGACTGTAGGGGCAAGTGCTGTTAACGAGCAGCTATCCGGGTTACAACTTAATCCGTCTGTCCCGGGCCGATCCTGCAAAAACCGCTTCAAAGGTTGTAAACCACAGTCCGGCGATCGTCAAAACCCAATGATGTTGTTGATGTTGAAACAAGAGCGGAGTGGCAACTTACTCGCATAACCCCATGCGGAGTCTCGGATTTAAGAGTGGAAAGTACGGTCAGGTTAAATGCGGTAACTTTTTCACACTGGGGTATTTATGTTTGTGCCTATTTGTACGTTCGTGCCAATGTTCTATAGTAAGCATCGAGTAACACACTTAAGGAAAACACACACACGCAACATATTCTTGGTTCTTTCGGTAAAGTCGCGTAGTAGGGAAATGATCAAATATTTAAAATAAAACATAATAAAATACAATTCTCGAGACGTTTCACCGAAAGAACCAAGACTATGAATCCCTGCGGCCTCGAAAGCTTTAAATCGAAAAAAAAAACACAGCACTTAAACAGGTAACGTTACGCAAGTGTGCAAAAATAAAGCTGTTTTCAAGAATGACTCGTGGTTATCCGGCGCCCTCTTCACCCCAAAGCCGCCGGATAATCAATAATCTACTGTATATACACAGTATAATCCATTCTTCATGCTATAACATGTTAGAAAATAGTCCCCTACTGCTGTTAATACATTGGGCAAGAGTGCTGTTGTACACAGTTCCTGAAACATTATTTTTTTAAACCAAAATTGACGCAGCATTTTTCTTAGACATTTTACTTTGCTCGACTTCTTTCCTACCTCGGCTAAAGTGGCTTGATCGATTGAAGAAGAAATCACGTTCTACTGCGTTTCACAGTAAGCGCCTCGCTGATCAAATGTGTTCAGAGTCATCGGTCGATAGATGCGTCGGAGGAGGAGGAGGAAGAAGTTTCTGCATCGTAAATCGATCCGTGGTGGCGTATGCTGTGGTAGCGTCGTAAATTCGGACCGTCTGTAAGCCTGAGTGAAGTGTTACACACCTGGCAACCCCTATCAGTGCCCTACCTTATCACAGAGCAATTCAGACCTTATTGGTCATGAAGTTTCTTTTATAAACGTTCGTCGTACAAAGTCCAATCACAAGAGATAAACACAGACATTGAACAACAAAAAAATGGTGTGCCCATAGAGGAACGGCTGTACGCCTTTTGGACCTGAAAAATCAATTTCACTGTACAACAATCACGGGAGTGACCCATATGGGTGGACCAAAATGTGTGTAATCAACATTTTTGGCTGACATTTACTGACGCATTAACCAAAGTTCGTGAAAAATCGATGTCTAATTGAATATTGACGCTTCACAAATTTTAGGTGCTCCCAGAAAAAGAATTGGCTTTAAAGGAATAAAATCGGGGACAGGGTAACAGACTGCGCGATGAGGGTGCCGTTATCTCAGCCACCGTAACTCACCGCTTCATACCGTGAACGCGAAATAACTTCCCATTCATATCGTAGGCAAAGACAATTTACCCTGAAAATAATGTTACGTCTCATACTGCGCTGGATTGAGATTCAAGACGTAAACAAAAGAGAAACATCGTGACCTGTAAAGTATCATCGGTGCAGCCGTGAGGTTGCATTGCCCACCAATCACCAAAGCTCCGTAGCTTAGTGCGTTACTTCGCATATATTGGCCGAGACGAATATATTCAAACATTCTACGAGCTAACAGGGCTTTTCCCCCTTTTGTCTGGCAACAAAACTGACACCTTTTGCAAGGAATCATGTTGACATTAACCACAATACTTGCAGTCAAATGCAAACAAAAAAAACAATACTCTGATCATTTATGCATTGTCCTTGTAACTCATTGGTCCACACCAGAGACAGCTTTTCTTAGAGCCTAGTCTCATATGGTGTTCGACCGGATGACGCCAAAAGGTGCCTTTTGGCGATGAATAAATGATCAGAGTATTGTTTTTTGTTTGCATTTGACTGCAAGTATTGTGGTTAATGTTAACATGATTCCTTGCAAAAGGTGTCAGTTTTGTTGCCAGACAAAAGGGGGAAAAGCCCTGTTAGTATATTTTGGTACTGGCAAAGGAGGCCTCATGATGTAGATTCCACGAGCAATCATGATGCACAACGCTCAATAATCTATCTTATTATAATTGTATTCTTAAAATAGTACTGTGGATGGCTATTATTGATTAATTTCAGTGTATTTATGTATTACTTTACTTTATATTTTCCCATTGAAATAATGGTAGTAAATCCAAAGTTCGTTATACTGAAACGTCATACGTAGAAAATTTGCATATCGAGATACAGTACTGTATTGCGTGGTCTATAGTGCAGCGTATGAATGTGAGAGTGCATTGTGAGAGTGAATACAGTGAGGTTGACCTGAGTGGGTGGGGACGAGTGGTGGATGAATGCGGTGAGGCTGAAGTGAGTGTGAGTTGGCGTGAGTGTGTTGGGGCGGAGGTGAGGCTCAAGTACGAGTAGGGAGGGGTGTGTATCTGGTGCGGTGGTGTAGCGGTTAGCGTGCTGCTCTACAAACCCAGCGACATGAGTTTGATTCCCGCACACGGCCAACACCAGTGATGATTATCTGAATCGGTCTTGGGCCTCCCCTAGGTCGACTCAGCCTCAAATGAGTACCTGGTGTGGTGTGTAAACATCGCCACTGCTTGGGGGGGGGGGGTGCTGGCCACCCACCCCCTTGTGTGCCATGCTCGCTAACAGCACATGCCCCAACAGTCTCTTTAGGCTATAAGGGGGTGACTTTGTGTCGTGTGTGTTCATCTAGCAAGATCAGTGTGTGCGAGGGGCTGGTAACCCGTCCACTTAGCACTAATTTATATTAGCAACCGCGGTGGACACACTCATACCAATTTGTGCAGGAGGCCCCGGGGAGGAGAATAATCTATGATGGCCTCTGGTAAAATCCAATTTGGTGGAGCCAGATTCTACCCCTCCCCTCGGTGCTCTTCAAGAAGCACCAGGAAAACACTTGAGGTTGGCCACATGGGATGTCCGAACGCTCACTGCGGAGAAGAGGCTTCAATTCCTCTGTCGGGAGCTGGACCGTTACCGCTAGGACCTCTGTTGAATACAGGAGGAGGTCTGGTGGACTGGTTCTGGCTCCAGTCACCAGGAGGGGGAGGACAGTTGTCCACTTTGGACAGAAAACTGCCAAACAAACAGGGAGTGCCACTTTTTTAAGAATAGATGAAGGGTGCGTGGGAACATGGAGACGGAGGTGTAGGAAGCCGTGAGTGTCATCAACGGTAGGAGAGGGGTAGCGGTGGTGGCTTACGCCCCACCGTAGATGAACATCAGTGGAGGGATGTGGGCAAGGTTGATGAGTCGGATGCTTTCTATGACCTGTCGCAGGTGCTGGTTATTGTGACCCCTCAGTATACAGTCATCCTCTTGTGTGACTTTATTGCCCGAGTGGGTCGTGATGCAGTCACCTGGTCTGGAATTATTGGAAGGCATGGTCCAGATCAGCTCAGTAACAATGGTAGGAGGCTGCTGTGCAGCCCATCAGCATGTAATCACCAACTCGCTGTTGCGGTATCGGTGCATTCACACGATATCATGGATGCACACCAGGCGCCAGCAAGAACATCTGCCGGACTACATAGTTATTGAATAGCAAATGTGGGCCCATGTCCTTGACAGCAGGACCTACCGTGGAGTTGATCTTCCTCCTGACCATCGGCTTGTTATCTGTAAGCTGCGACTACCTGACTTTCACTGCTGTGGCAATCATCCATCCAGGACTCCACTCAAACCCACAATAGCTTGGTCTCGTGCTGATTAAGGTTGCAGTGAGTATCTGGGTACTCAGTCCAGACCTCCCCAGAAACTCTGGCTCATGGAGGAGGTGTTCCGGCAAGTTGAAAGTAAGCAGCGGGCATTTGTGTGAACGTGCGATGCTGATTATGACGATGCTGCTGTTACTGATGACGATTCTGATGATAGTTAGGATGACTAATTATGACGCCGCTGCTGTTGATTCTGCTGTTGCTTACGATGATGATGCTGCTGATGCTGTTGTTTTCGGTGGTAATGGTGCTGCTGTTGAATGGCATGTTAATGAAGATGTTGATGTCAGGTGGGGAGATGAAAAAAGGCCGGGTGAAGCGAACTCACACTCTGGGAGCCATCTTCACCATTATCTTCGCCATCATCCTCCTCTCGAACGTGAGTGACCCCCATCACCACCCGCACCACCTCCCATCATGCATCACCACTACCACCATCACTACCACCACCACCATCACCACCCCCATCACCTCCCCTCCGGCCATCTAACCTCTTCTCCCCCTCCTCGGCCTCCACCTCTGCCCCCCCCCCTTCCCCCCCCCCCCCTTCCCCCTCTCAGCTGCTGCCGTCAAGCTTCTGGGCTGAATGGGCCCCCCGATTCCCGTTCACGACCCCCCACATGCCCCTGAGGGTCACGAGCGCCCGCCACTGCTCCATGCGCATCGTACCCCCACCGCAGTCCTCCCCCCCCTATTCTTATCGAGTGGGCGATTTGCTCACCGTGTCCATCGTGGTACGGGACTACAATGGCAGCGCCAAGCTGCGCGGCGGGGACTACTTTCGCGCGAGGATCCACTCGGCGGCGGAGGGATACGGACGCGGCGGGGGGCTCGCCGGGTTCGCGGGGCTGGCGGGGCTGGCCAGCCTGGCGGGGTTTGGTGGGGAGGGGGACGGCGGAGGGGTGACGAGCGCCGCGGGCGCGGTGCGAGACCACGGGAACGGAACCTACTCGGCCACATTCCGCTTGCTGTGGCCGGGCGCCACGGCCGTCTCCATATCGCTCGTCCACTCGCGGGAGGCCGTCGCGCTGCTCGCCCGCCTTCGTGACGAGGCGCCCGACAAGGTGGGGGCTTGGGGGTGGGGGCCTGCGGGGGGGGGGGGGCTGTAGCTGCAGCGATACTTTGACTTTCGTCGCTACGCTCTGTCGGCTGTTTAAAAATATCACCACATTTCAAATTTCGTCCACGTGCTTTCGTCCAGTTCCTTCAAACCTTCCACGACGTTCGCGCCACGCGACATCTTTTTCGTTCAGTCCTTAAATAGCGTTCACAGTGAGCATCTCTTACATTTGTGTTTATTCATACGTTATTAATACCGTACTTATTTCTGTGATCATGCTGGAAACGGTTTATAGTTATTTTTGTGATAACAGTGTGATACTACAGTGTTCATAGTTATTTTCGTGATTATAAAACACGTGTACAGTATTCCTCCTGTGCTTATGTTTGTTATTACTGTAAAGTACTTATTTTTGTGCTTTAATATATTCATAATGGGTCCTGAGTGTGGTGAAAGCTAAAAGGACCCATAAAGTTCTCAATTTGCAAGAAAAGCTTGACACAATCAAACTTAATGAGCAAGGCATGTCCCATGCCGATATAAGTCGCAAGCTAGGCGCACTTCACACAACAGTCAGTACAATTCTTAAGGATAAAGCCAAAGTGTTAGAGGAAATAAATAAACGCTACGCCAGTGCAAACCAAACTCGTCCACTTACACAAGTTTAGAGATGTAACTGGAGTCTATGGCGTGTACTCCATCTGCGTTCACGAGCGGGTAACTGATCAGGTCACGTACCCCTCTCTGGCACCGGCGGAGATATGGCAGGGAAGCGGGCCCGAGAGGGCATGGTCCCGTTGAAGGGAGACAGAGGGCACGTGAACGACACGGGGTGTAGTAAGGGGGCCCGAAAAGGGGGCTTGAGGGACACGTGACGCTGGCCCCGGTTCCTTCGGGAGAGATCGAGTAGGGGGCGTGGCCCGAGGCCACGCTCAAGAGGATGAGGGATGGGGGCGGAGCTATCTTGGTTGTCTGGAAGAGTGGACTCGCCGTGTTACGTCTCTCCGCTCTTCGGTCGCCGGTTTAGATTGTATTTTAGGTTCCGTGGGTCAGGAAGAGTTACCGTCCTTGACCCAGTTACGTAGTGACCCGGTTGGGGTCTAGTTAAACCGTTGTAACTTTATAAAGTACAGGGTTTCATATTCTTGGTTCTTTCGGTAAAGTCACGTAGAAGGGAAATGATAAAATTCTCACGACGTTTCGATTGCAACACAAGCAATCATCATCAGGTGTGAAAACCACAGCAAGATAATTTGAAAAAAAAGTGGCGTTTTTTTCTTAACGTTAGCACCACGGACAGCAACTGGCGGTTGGTCAGACGGACGAGTCCATCTATGCTCGGAACGGAGGAGGGGGGAGCTAGAAAGAGAATGGAATGCGGTCTGAAAGCCACCGTAAGCGTGAACAAAATCAATTAAGACCCGAAATGGTTTATCAAATCCTTCCAATGATTGCTAAGCCAGAATCCATCTTCTCGGTTGAAATTGTCTCTGTGTTTGTATATGTGGATAGCCTCATGAACGAATGTCTAATGGTTAGCCAGATATCTTGCAAAGAACCTCTGTCTTGGAGAAGTCAATGTCATGTGAGCCCACTGAATTATAACAGAATATGAATCCCTGCAGTCACGAAAGCTTTAAATCGAAAAAGTACAGGGTGTTTCAAAATGATGGACCCAATTTCAAAGCAGTATATTTCACGATGACAACATGTTACAATTACACAAAAAAATAACAAACGTTTTAACGAGTTATCACGTTTTACTAACCATTTTATAAATGCTCTATGTGCCCTCCACCTGCTGTACGGACAACATCGAGACGATAGTTGAATTTGTCCCAAACGCCTCTCTTCTCGCCCTGTGCTCTTCCCCTTACATAAACAGCCACGATTCCTCAAATTGTCGGTACCAACGACGAATGCTCTTTGACATTGGCGGATCAATCCCAAGACGCCGTTGAAACGCACGCCGTACCGAAATTACGGATTCAGTCTTGCTGAATTGCAGAAGGCAAAACGCCCCTTGTGTTGCGGGGGTCACCGTCTTGCCAATGACTGAGGCTAGGGGCTGTTTGTGTGCTGGGGTCACCATCTAAAGAATGACTTGAGGCTAGGGGCTGTTTGTGCGCTGGGAGAGGCACCTAGCGGTACACAATTGAAACTCTATGCCCCGCCCTCTCTATGCCCCGCCCTCTCTATGCCCCGCCCTCTCTATGCCCCGCCCTTTCAAGTGGTAAGAGTTTCATTCATGGCCGGTTCGTGGTTGCAGAGATGTAGCGATTTCAAATCGAGTCAACTTTTTTTTTAAACACCCTGTAGTAGCCCCGTAGGGCCGTATAATAAACGTGGTGCCACCAGATTACAGTGTGTGTCTCCGTGGGACCCACTACACAAGAATTAAAAAAAAAGATTTCAAGGTAAAATCGCGTTCATTTATTTATTTTTGTTGATTTATTCTGATGTGTATTCATCTTTCATTTATGTTTCGCACGTATGCGTCATATATTTCCTGTAGCTAATTGCACGTCCGTTTTTCGCCGGCAAAAAAAAAAACATTTGCGAGCCGAGCAAAGGCTCTGCTTGGACATTCGGACATTTTTTTTTTATATTCGTCCATGCTCTGGTCTCTAACGGGACGAAAGTGCGAGGCATTCCTGTACACCCTAGCCAAGTGGTGTGTGGGAGCTGTGGCCCGAGGGGGTCTAACTGGGCCGGGTTGGGGGCGGGGGGGCCACTGCAGAATCTTGGGCAGTGCCGGACGTGCGAGGTTGGGTTCGTCCGTTCTCACGCTGTCCCGCTCCTGTGCAGGTTTTTTTCTACGGCTACTTTGAGGGTGGGGGGCGCACGGAGCGCACCGAGTGCAACGCCGTGAAGCCGGGGCGAGTGCATGGTGGGGCCGCCCGCGCAGACGAGGAGCAGGAGGTCTGCGAGTTCCGTGACGCGGGGGAGCGGTGGTTCTGCGTGAGGCCCCCCACTCTGCCCTGCTCCGCCTGGAGCTACCACTCCATGGGGGGCTACCGCACCGTCACCACCAGGGCGGAGGACGCGCTGCTGCATAGGTGGGGGGGGAGGGGTGGTGGTGGGGGGGGATCATCATCGTCACCGCAACCATCGTCACCACCACCATCACTATCATCACCACCACCACCACCACAATCGTCACCACCATTACCGCCGTTATCACACATCGTCATCAACACCATCACCATTCCAACCAACACCACAGTAATCACCGCCGTTATCATCATCATGATAACCACCATCATCACCACAACCACCGTCATCACCACCATCATCGTGACCATTATCACCATCATCATCATCACCACCGTAAATAATCATCACCATCACTAGGTCGAGGGAGCGGGAGAACAGGAGCGGTTATGATGGTGGTGAGGATGGTAGTGATGATGGTGGTGATGATGATGATGGCCTGGCACAAGCGCCGTGGTGACGTCACCGCCACTTAGTGGCGAATGGCGGTTGTTGATGATGTTGTTGTTTCAGATCTGTGACCGATGTGCCGATTGGTGGTGGTGACCTCACCATCACGGTGCAGCCCTCGAAGGTGAACCTCAGTGAGTCACCACCGCACACCGCACTCGCACCACACCCCCACACACACCGCACGAAACGTACCGCACCATACACCGCACACACACCACACTACACACTGACTTGCTCCAGACACTCCATACACACCGCACTGCACACAGACACCACGCACCGCAACACACATCGACCCGCTCCGCACATACACTGCACATGCACCACACCGCGCGCACACACACACACCGTACACATTACCGCACCACACACACACACCGTACACATTACCGCACCACACACACACACCGTACACATTACCGCACCACACACACACACACCGCACTGCACACCGTACACATTACCGCACCACACACACACACCGCACTGCACACCGAACATACCACACATACACCGCACGCACACTGCACACTGCACACACACTGCACACATTACCGCACCCGCATTACTGCACCACACACACCGGGCACACTGCACACACACCGCACTGCACACGCACCACATGCCGCACACACCGCGCCACACACCGCACACACACCACACAGACACCACACACCATACACACACCGTACACGCACCGTACACACACACACCACACAGACACCACACACCATACACACACCGTACACACACTGTACACACACACACCACACAGACACCACACACCATACACACACCATACACACACCGTACACACACCGCACACACACACACACCACACAGACACCACACACCGTACACACACCGCACACACACACACCACACAGACACCACACACCATACACACACCGTACACACACCGTACACACACACCACACAGACACCACACACCGTACACACACCGTACACGCACTGTACACACACACACCACACAGACACCACACACCGTACACACACCCTACACACACCGTACACACACACCGTACACACACACCACACAGACACCACACACCGTACACACACCGTACACACACACACACACCACACAGACACCACACACCGTACACACACCGCACACACACACACACCACACACACACCACACAGACACCACACACCGTACACACACCGTACACACACCCTACACACACCGTACACACACACACACCGTACACACACCGTACACACACCGTACACACACCCTCTTCCGTATCACCTCTTTGCCGTCCCCTTCTTCCCCTATTCTCCTGCTCCCTCCCCTCTCCCCACACCACCCCCCCCCCCCCTTATTGCTCCCTCCTCTCCTGTTCCCTCCCTCTGGCACCCTCCCCCATTTTCCTCGCCCCCTCCCACCTCCCCCCTCCATTCACCCTGCTCCCGCCCCACTGTGCCCCCCACTGTGCCCCCCACTCCCCCGTCCCCCCAAGCGGCACGCCTGCCCCCATGCCGCCCGGGGCTGCCCCCCACCGCGACGGCGGTGGTGCCGAGCGGATTCTACGTGGAGGGAGAGTGGCACTCCTTGGTGTGCGCCGCTCGGCGCTTCCGCCAGGCGGGCGCCGTGGCACGCTGCCTCCGGGGCCGCCGAGTCTTCATGTACGGGGACTCCACGCTGCGCCAGTGGTGGCAGCTGCTCACCGACACCGCGCCCTGTGAGTGAGCCACGCGGTGAGCCGGTGGGGGCAGCCGCTCACCGACACCGCGCCCTGTGAGCGAGCCACGCGGTGAGCCGGTGGGGGCAGCCGCTCACCGACACCGCGCCCTGTGAGTGAGCCACGCGGTGAGCCGGTGGCGGCTGCCGCTCACCGACACCGCGCCCTGTGAGTGAGCCACGCGGTGAGCCGGTGGGGGCAGCCGCTCACCGACACCGCGCCCTGTGAGCGAGCGAGTTAGCGATGAGGTTAGCCGGTGGGCGGGCGGGCGGGTGGTTGACCGAGCAAGCGAGTGAGCGGGTAGGTGAGTGGGTGGATGAGCGAGTCGGTGGCTGATTGAGTGAGTTAGGAGGCAGATGAGTTAGTGGGTAGGTGAGTGGATGGGTGGTTGAGTCGGTGGGTGAGTGGTTGAGTGGGTGGTTGAGTGAGTGGGTGATTGGGTAAGTGAGTGGCTGTTTGGGTGAGTGGATGGTTGAATGAGGTCCCCTGTTCCCCCACCCCCCTCCCCGCCCACACGCACAGCGCTGAAGGTGGAGGCCAACAACGCTCCACTGCAGCTGGGGCCCCTGATCGCCCGGGACCCCGAGGCCGGAGCCGTGGTTCTGTGCCGCTCCCACGGCCTGCCCCTGCGCTCCAAGCGGGGACCGGTATCCTCCATCCACTACATCGCCAACGAGCTCGACAGCCTGCCCGGTGAGCCCCCTGATCCCCGCTGATCTCGTTGATCCCGCGGGACCCCGCTAATCCCCCTGGTCCTCGCTGAACCCCGCTAATCCCCCTGATCCCCGCTGATCCCGTTGATCCCGCGGGACCCCCTGAAGTCCCCCGAACTGCTCTGTTACCCGCCGATCCCCGCTGATCCCCACTGAACCCCTCCGATGTCTACTGATGTCCTTTAACCCCCTCTGATCACAATTGATCCCCCTGATTCATTCGGATCGCTGCTTCTTCCTCCTGATACTCCTGATCCTTCGTGTTGATCCCCACTGATCCCCGCTGCCCTCCCCCCCCGCCCCCATCCCTGCCGATCTCCGACCCTCACCGATCCTTCCTCTTGTTGATCCCTCCCCCCCCCTGTTGTTGATCCCCCCTCCGCCGATCCCTCCTGTAGCCCGTGTGGGTGAACGGGGGGGGGGGGCGCCTCGAGCCTCTTGGCTGGTTGCATGCGAGGGGACATCGGATACATCACTGAATTAGCGGCACTGTCCTGGCCTCGTATCGGGGGTGGGGGTGGTGAGGGGGGGTGAGGGGGGGTGAGGGGGGGGTGAGTTGTAGGGGGTACCCATTGGCACCACACACTGCTGCTGCTGCTGGCTGCTGCTGGCTGCTGCTGCCGGTGCTGCTGCTGGCTGCTGCTGGCTGCTGCTGGCTGCTGGCTGCTGCTGCTGGCTGCTGCTGACTGCTGCTGCTGCTGACTGCTGCTGACTGCTGCTGCTGCTGACTGCTGCTGACTGCTGCTGGCTGCTGCTGACTGCTGCTGCTGACTGCTGCTGGCTGCTGCTGACTGCTGCTGCTGCTGACTGCTGCTGGCTGCTGCTGCTGCTGGCTGCTGCTGGCTGCTGCTGCTGTTGCTGCTGCTGCTGCTGGCTGCTGGCTGCTGCTGGCTGCTGCTGCTGCTGGCTGCTGCTACTGCTGCTGCTGGCTGCTGCTGCTGCTGGAGGCGCGCAGGGGGGCGACGGTCACGTCTGGTTGCGCGTGGCGGTGGTGGCGTTGGCGGCGGCGGTGGCGCCGGTGGTGGCGGTGGTGATGGTGGTGGTGGTGGCGATGGTGATTGTTGTGGTGGTGTTGTGGCCGCGGTGGCTCGGCCCGGCTCTGCAGTGGTCACACCACCACTACAATCACCACCACCACTACAATCACCACCACCACTACAATCACCACCACCACTACAATCACCACCACCACTACAATCACCACCACCACTACAATCACCACCACTACCACCACCACCATCGCCACCACCACCACTACAATCACCACCACTACCACCACCACCACGACAACCACCACCATCACCACTACAATCACCACCACCATCGCCACCACCACTACAATCACCACCACCACTACAGTCACCACCACTACAATCACCACCACTACAGTCACCACCACTACCACCACAGTCACCACCACGACAACCACCGCCACGTGTTCTAAGCTTCCCACTCGCACAGAACGATGTCAAGCGTGGTGGTGATTAGCGTGTCACTCTGTGGTCTCCCCTCCCCTTCTCTCCCCGCCACAACCACCTCATCACGCGCACCTCGTCACACACGCGCACACACCTCGTTACGCACACATCATCACGTACACCTCGTCACACACGCACACACACACATCTATCACGTACACCTCGTCACACACGCACACATCTATCACGTACACCTCGTTATACACGCACACACATCTATCACGTGCACCTCGTCACACGCACACACATCTATCACGTGCACCTCGTCACACACACACACATCTATCACGTACACCTCGTTATACACGCACACACATCTATCACGTGCACCTCGTCACACGCACACACATCTATCACGTACACCTCGTTATACACGCACACACATCTATCACGTGCACCTCGTCACACACACACATCTATCACGCATACCTCGTCACACACACATCTATCACGTACACCTCGTTATACACGCACACACATCTATCACGTGCACCTCGTCACACACACACATCTATCACGCATACCTCGTCACACACACATCTATCACGTACACCTCGTTATACACGCACACACATCTATCACGTGCACCTCGTCACACACACACATCTATCACGTGCACCTCGTCACACACGTGCACACACATCTATCACGTGCACCTCGTCACACACACACACACACATCTATCACGTGCACCTCGTCACACACACACACACATCTATCACGTGCACCTCGTCACACACGTGCACACATCATCACGTGCACCTCGTCACACACACACACATCATCACATGCACCTCGTCACACACACACACATCATCACGTGCACCTCGTCACACGCACACACATCTATCACGTACACCTCGTTATACACGCACACACATCTATCACGTGCACCTCGTCACACACACACATCTATCACGTGCACCTCGTCACACGCACACACATCTATCACGTGCACCTCGTCACACACGTGCATACACATCTATCACGTGCACCTCGTCACACACACACACACATCATCACGTGCACACATCTATCACGTGCACCTCGTCACACACACACACATCTATCACGTGCACCTCGTCACACACACACACACATCATCACGCATACCTCGTTATACACGCACACACATCTATCACGTGCACCTCGTCACACACACACACACATCATCACGTACACCTCGTTATACACGCACACACATCTATCACGTGCACCTCGTCACACACACACACACATCATCACGTGCACCTCGTCACACACACACACATCATCACGTGCACCTCGTCACACACGCACACACACATCATCACGTGCACCACACCGTCACGCCCGCCCGCCCGCCCCTCGCGGCGTGCCAGGCCTGCCCGGCACGGTGGTGGTGCTCTCGGTGTGCGCCCACTTCACGTCGTTCCCCGCGGCGCTCTACGCCGGCCGCGTCGACCGCATCGGCGCGGCGCTGCGGCGCCTGCTGCGTCGCGCCCCGCACACTCTCGTGCTCGTCAAGAGCGCCAACACCGGCTACCGCTCGGCGCACGGCTCCGAGTGGCTGGCGCGCGGCCTCGACGCGCTCATGCGCCGCGCCCTGCGCCGGCACCTCGGCGCCGCCCTCGGCGCCACCGGCGGCGCCGGCGCCGGCGGCGGCGGCGGCGCCGTGGTGATCGACGCGTGGGACATGAGCGCGGGGCACCCGTCCCCCGATGACATCCACCCGGTGCGCGCGGTCGTGCGCGCCGAGGTGGAGCTCTTCCTGTCGTACGTGTGTCCTGACGAGGTGTGACGACGTGGCGACGAGGTGTGACGTGGCGACGAGGTGTGACGTGGCGACGAGGTGGAGCTCTTCCTGTCGTACGTGTGTCCTGACGAGGTGTGACGACGTGGCGACGAGGTGTGACGTGGCGACGAGGTGTGACGACGTGGCGACGAGGTGGAGCTCTTCCTGTCGTACGTGTGTCCTGACGAGGTGTGACGACGTGGCGACGAGGTGTGACGACGTGGCGACGAGGTGGAGCTCTTCCTGTCGTACGTGTGTGTCCTGACGAGGTGTGACGACGTGGCGACGAGGTGTGACGACGTGGCGACGAGGTGGAGCTCTTCCTGTCGTACGTGTGTCCTGACGAGGTGTGACGACGTGGCGACGAGGTGTGACGTGGCGACGAGGTGTGACGTCGTGACGAGGTGTGAAGTGACGACTAAGTGTCACGTGACGGATAAGTGCGACGTGGCGACTAAGTGTGACGTGGCAATGAGGTGTGACGTCATGACGAGGTGTGACGAGGTGTGATGTGGCGACGAGGTGTGACGTCGTGACGAGGTGTGACGTCGTGACGAGGTGTCACGTGACGGCTAAGTGTGACGTGTCGACTAAGTGTGACGTGGCGACGAGGTGTGATGTGGCGACGAGGTGTGACGTCATGACAAGGTGCGACGTGACGACCAAGTGTGACGTGGCGACGAGGCGTGACACGACGACGAGGTGTGACGTGACGACATAACGCGACGATGATGGGGTGTGACGTGACGACATGACGCGACGATGATGGGGTGTGACGTGACGACATGACGCGACGATGATGGGGTGTGACGTGACGACATGACGCGACGATGATGGGGTGTGACGTGTGGCGGGGATGTATGTACGAATGCTCAACTCACTTTGCGCTGTACATAGCCAATCGTTGTAATCGGGGGTGCGGATGGGTGTGAGCTGTGATGATGCGTGTGGTGTGATGTGATGGGTTGGATGTGATATGATGGGATGGTTGTGATGCCGTTATTTGGATGTGATGTGTGTGGGATGGGTGTGATGTTACGGGTGTGATGTGATTTGAGATGCGACGGTATGGGTGGATGGGTGTGATGACGTGATGTGTGCGACATGGGGTGTGATTGGTGCAAGTGAGTTTGGGTGTCTTTGCCTAGGTTGCACAGTAGGGGGCACAGGTGGTGCGTCTGCCGGTCATATCTTCAGTCAGCCCTTGGCACTTGGGGTCTCTCCCGTGACCTGCCAGCGGCGATCCTTCCGCACTTCGCCTGATAGCCTGAAAGTGCACCTAGCTTGGCACAAGCGCTCCGGTGACATTCCCACCACTTGGTGTGTTGCGTGGGGTGGGGGTGGCAGCGTAGTGGTTGGCGCACTGTGCTTCAAACCGCGCGGCCCGAGTTTGATTCCCGCTCAGGGCAGAGACATCGGTGACGTCTCTCTGAACTGGTATTAGCGACGCCTCAACCCCCCCCATCCCCCCCTAAGTCTGTGTGTAGACATCACTGGGGAGCGCCTGTTGTTGTGGGTGGTGTTGTGGGGGTAGGGGGGGGGGCAGATCACGTGACTCGCTTTCATCAATCTGTGCCAGTTAGCACACACACACACAGCGTGATCACAGCGTGGGAGGTTTTGGGTTTGTGTTTTTACGTTAAAAGACCTTCGCAGCAAAACCCACTACAGCTCCCAGTGAAAATTCCACAAGCAGTGTTGACTTCCCCCACAGTGTTACTCAATTTATCGACCACCCCGGCCCTCCGATTGTGAGCCGCTTGCTTCACCGCCGAGACACGGAGCGGGGTTCCCGTGGGGTCGCGTAGCGCGTGCAGGAGAGCTGTGGAGCTGTTTATCAGAAGCGACCTGGCCATCAACGAATGATGGCTCATCGAAGTGGCGTATTCATCGTCACGTGGAAATGTACAGCAACAGCTGAACGCTCCTGAACGCGCGATGTTCATTCTAAAATGTGGAGGGGAGAAGAATCACACGCGACCGCCACGGGACACGAGAGAGACACGCAGACTCCAAATATACAGCAGCAGCAGGCCGGCCGGGGTCGGGATCGAACCCACGACCTCCTGCATACCAGGCGATGGAGATAACATCCCGCCACATCGGCGCCCTATCGTGTGCATCCCGGTCGCGGGTGGGGGGGGGGGGGCGAGGAGCGAGCGATTGAAGGCGGAACGGAGTTTGGTGGGGGAGGCGGTGAGGTGTTAAACACTTATTTTGTGTGATGCAGAGAGACAAATGGGATGAGGAGGCATCATTGATTTTATTATTCAAGGCCTGGTCGGGCCGACACCCTTCGTCCAGGCCGCGAGAACGCAACCCTGGACCGACGATCGTCGTCATCGTATACCCCCTCCTACCCACAATGCTCTTGCACGATTCCCTGCAAATTAAATCTACAACTCAAATCAACAATCCATCTCTGTGGTGGCCTCATTTATTCCGGGTAACCACGGGTGGAGTAATTGTGGATCTGGGTTCTACTGTGGCCTCAAAGGGGGGGGGGGGGTTGCATGGGTGGCTCCACTTGGCTCCATCGGGGCTCCATGAAGTGGGAGGGGGCTCTATTTGTAGGCCCACACGCGGATGTCCTTCACTTGCAGCGCCGCCTCCTCTCCGTTGTTCACCTCCCTCTTCCAGGTGGGGAGCCACTGGGACCTGCGGGTCGACAGTGGAAGTCCCGACTTGAAGCTCTCTCGTGACTGCAGGAATCCATATCGTTTGGGTCTTCCGGTAAAGTCGCGGAGATGGGTTAAAAAAAAAACACGAAAAAACTACGACGTTTCGATCGCAACACAAGCGGTCATGCTGCGGTCGTGTTTGCGATCGAAACGTCGGTGTTTTTTTGTAAAACAAATTCGGCTTTCTACGTGGCTTTACCGAAAGACCCAAAGGATAGTGGAAATCCCGTTGGGGATGGGCGCAGCCCCTTGGGAGTGCTCGCTCGCGGCCCTGCCGCTGGCGGGAGTGGCCTCCACTCGAGGGAGCTCTCGAGAGGCCCTCTTCTCTTGCACGCTGGCCCGACGTTTCGGGAGCAACCCACACTTTACCACCCCACCGTCACGCGTGACCCGCAGATCGTGGACTCACTGCGGGCGGTTGAACCAATTTACGCGGCTGCTGGGTGGTCACAGGCGGTGGTGGGGCAGGTGATGTAAGAAACCTCACCACCCCGACCCCCCCCCCCCCCCATTGCTGTAACTGCCGCGCCTGGAGATGGAGTTGAACCGGCGACCTCTGGATATCGAGTAGAGCGCGCTGCTGACCACTACCCCGCTGTGTGGCAGCTTCTCGCATGGGCAGAGCAACGAGATTAATCTTCAACTTGATCATTTTCCAAATATCAGCAGCATCATCAGTCACGACCACCAATGCGTGTACACACACACACGTATATACAAAGATAAAGATCCCCCGTGTAGCCTTAACAGACTGTAGGGGCAAGTGCTGTTAGCGAGCACCTATGAAGGCTGGAACGGTACACGAGGGAGTGGGTGGCCAGCACCACGCCCGACCGCCTAAGTCTCTCTAGTGGCAATATTTTTATCCACCGCACCAGGTACTCATTTGAGGCCGGGTCGACCTAGGGGAGGCCCGGTTCAGATAATCGTCACTGGTGTTGGCCGTGAGTGGGAATCGAACCCGGGTCGCCAGGTTCATAGCGCAGCGTAGCGCTAACCGCTACACTACCGCTCCCCTGTGTACATACACATACGTGTACACATCCGTGTATATACACATACGTGTACACATACGTGTACACACGCGTACACATGAACAGGCGTGGCGCGTACTTGGCATTGTAGAAGTCCGCAGCCGCTCTCGGCGAGCTGTTCAACCAGGGCTTGGGGTAGGGTTGGTTCGTCCAGTCGTCCACAAAGAAGGCCGTGCCCCCCACGGCCAGGTTCAAGATCAGGTAGAACTATGGGTGTGGGTGGTCAGAGAGGTCAGAGGGTCCAGGCACAGGGAAGGTCGTAGGAGGTGGGGGACGGGGAGTATTAGGAAGTACGTGATGCTGGTTTCCGTGTAAATTGTGGACCTATGGAATTAGAATATTAATTTATACTGGATGCATTCGATGAGCTATGCAGCTCTGTTTTAAAGATTTCCAGAAGGTACAATACAAAAATGACTTCATAAACAAGGTCCCAAATTTTCAGATCCTAGGCTCTTCGAATCCATATTGCAGGTTTCTGTGCCAGGTGTTCAGGTCACAGTATCAGAATCTAGGTCTCTTATTCCATTCCTGGGATCCCAGATTCCATTTCCCAGATCCAAGATTCCAATATCCATTTCCCATTACCCAGATTTCCAGATGGGTGTGGGGGGGGAAGGTGAATCCAAGATCCAATAATCTGATGTTTTAGGACCCAAGTCTCAGTATCCCAGGTTCAAGGCTCCCGGATCCAGTTCCTAGACCTAAGTTCTAGACTCCAGATCCCTTGATCGAGGATTCAGATCCAGCGCCGTGGTGGCAAGCTGTTAACTACCTTGCATGGTATGCAGGAGCTCGTGGGTTCGATCCTGACCCTGACGCCTGTATACTTGAAGTTTGCACGGTCTCCCCGTGGTCACATGGATTTTTTATTCACATTTAGAAACACGCGTTTAGAGTATTGGACTGCTCTCTATTTGGATATGATAAGTCCCTTCGTTGAGCTATCATTTGTGGCCAGGCCGCTTCTCAAAAAGAGCTACACAGCTTAGTGGGCCTTACCTGGTACAACTTGTTTTTTAGTTTTTAATAGTTTTAGTTTAGATCTCCTCCCCTTCCTCCCAGGTCCTTATCCTCACATCTTGGTCGAAGGGCGCCATCTTTCCTCGCCCCCTCCACGGGTTGTCGATGTTAGTGGGGAACGCGCCCAGGCCCCAGAATCCATCTGCTGCAGGGTTCACCTTCAGGGTTTCCTCGCCGTCCAGCAGGAACCTGGGGCCACACATCCGTCGCTTTGAGCAACCTGGAGGAAACTGGAGACATCTGGAGTGGCCAGGAGCAAACTAGAGGCATCTGAAGGTGCCAGAAAGAAACTGGAGGCATCTGAAGGGACCTGGAGAAAAGTGGAGATACGTGGAGTTGCCAGGAGAAAATTGGATACATCTGCAGAGGCCAGGAAGAAACTGGAGGCATCTGGAGTGGCCAGGAGGAACTGGAGGGATCAGGGAGGAACTGGAGGTGTTTGGAGGGACGAGGATGAAACTTGAGATATTTGGAGTGGCCAGGAGGAAACTGGAGACATTTGGAGTGGCCAGGAGAAAACTGGAGACATCTGGAGCGGCCAGGAGGAACTGGAGGGATCAGAGAGGAACTGGAGGGGTTTGGAGTGGCCAGGATGAAATTTGAGATATTTGGAGTGGCCAGGAGGAAACTGGAGACATTGGGAGTGGCCAGGAGAAAACTGGAGACATCTAGAGCGGCCAGGAGGAACTGGAGGGACCAGGGAGGAACTGGAGGGGTTTGGAGTGGCCAGGATGAGATATTTGGAGTGGCCAGGAGGAAACTGGTGTCCACCAGCTTCACGGCTCCAGCAAAAAGTTAAAGCCAACAAACCCGCACATTCATCTGCCCTGTATTAAATCCTGGGTTTTAATCTGCGCTCGTCACGTTCGTGGTGTTAGTGAATACACGATGATGAGGGAGACAAAACACACCCTCGGCAAAACGACCTCTCCGGAAATGAAACCATTGTGACGTTTCACCTCTTCGCACACAGGCCTGAGTGACATCACAGACTTTCCAAGCAGCTGACTCATCTCACCTGGGATGCCATAGCAGCCTATAGCAGTTTTCACATTCCCAGACACGGTCCACAGAGTCAAGGCCGTAATTATAATATTCAAATGTGCTCAAAATGTCCCCCCCCCCAATATATTGCTATAAAATAGATTTCTGTTTATATGATTGTGGTTATGGTTGTACTTTATTAATCCCTAATCTCTGCCATTACATGCAATGAAACAAAAAAAGCTAAAAAAAAGAAAAAAAAACAGAGCAATGTAATACAATACACTATTAGACATTGTAAAAAAATAAATAAAAGTCCATCCTACGTGTTAGTGATTTTTTTTATATATTTTAGGCAGGGAATTCGTTTTCAAATTTGGATATATTTTTTTTCTGGGAGGGGGGTGGGGGTGGTGGGCCCCCAGACCCCCTGGAAAATTTGGTTCCCCCCAATGTTGACTCCATGGCTACGGCTTTGCACAGAGTCAATGGCAGATCCAAAGATGCTCTCCATGCCCCCAAATCTTAGTCTATCGCCCGTCTCACCTCAAAGATCTGATTGCTGCTGCAGCCCCATTGCGGATCCAAATAAAAGCCAAAACAATTCCAGGCAATGTCTCACTGAGCTATAGAGCTCTCTTTCAGCAGAAACGACCTGCCCACAAATGAAATCTCAACGAAGTGGCTTATCGTGGGGAAATCTACAGCGGCCAACTACTCTAAACTCGTGCTCCTAAATGTGGAGGGGAAAAAAACCGGAGGAGCCGGAGAAAATCCACGCAACCACGGGGAGGGTGAATGCGCAAACTCCAAATATACAGCAGCAGCAGCAGGCGTTAGGGTCGGAATCGAACCTACGCCCTCCTGTATACCGGGCGAGGTAGTTAACATCTCCTAGCCACCGTGGCGTCCATCATCTCTTTGTCCTGCATGGACATCTCCTCCTGGCTGCCCGATGGTTCCTCAACGATTTTTGTTGCCAAGTCCAAGATGATTATTATGATCATGATGCTGCTGCTGCTGTTGATGATGATGCTGATTCTGTTGATGATGATACTTGTTACCTCATGTAGTCTGGTGTCCACTCCACCTCGTACTTGTGGAATCCAGTTCCGAAAGTCCCCTCTTTCGCGTGCCTGTGACGGGGTGGGGAAGGGGGGGGGGTGAAGGAAGGGGGGGGGGGTTATATGAAACCCGCATGGACATTGACGATTCCAAGAAGATGAATCCCTGCAGTCACGAAAGATTTAAGTCGAAAAAAATACATCGATTAGTTTTATTTACGTCGTTGTTGTGCCGAAAGTTGTGGTCATCATGGTGACTGTTGCTATTGTTGTGTGCTATGTTTATTTATTTTTCTATTCGTTGCCTGTTTGCCCAGCTAAGCCTCACTGAGTTCCACGACTCTTGTCGGAAGGGTGCTGCCGGGTTCTATGCGGCAGGGGGCGATGGTTGCTTTCAGGTGACTGTTATGTTGGGCTGTTGTTGTTGTGGTTATGAGTGGGGAGCGGTGGCGCAGTGGTTAGCGCGCTACGTTACGAACCCGACGACCGAACCGGTCCTGCGCCATCTCTAGGTCGACTCAGCCTTAAAATGAGTACCTGGTGCGATGTGTAAATATCGTCCACCCGGGAAGCTTCCGGGCATGGTGCTGGCGACCCACCCGCTCATGTGCCGTGCCGGCCTCAATCGGTTCACGCGCACAACACTTGCCCCAACAGTCTATTGAAGGGTGTACGTGGGGGAGCGGTAGCACAGCGGTTTTTGTGGTTGGTTGTAGGGGTGCCATGGTGGCGAGATGTTAGCTACCTCGCCTGGTATACATCAGGTCGTGAGTTCGATCCAGAGGCTGACGCCTGTATATTTGGAGTTTGCGTGTTCTATCTCTCCCCGTGGTCACGTATCATAATCTAAACATGAATTTTGACTAATTGGCTGCTATACATTCCCACGTGATAAGCCACTTCGTTGAGCTATCATTTGTGGCCAGGTCGCTTCTTACCTGGGAAAATAAAAACACGTGTTTTAAGTTGTTTCCGTAGCTGTGTTCTTTGTGATTATTACGGTTAATGTGATTGCTGTTGTGGCAGCTATGGTTGTGATTTATGTCGTTGCTGTAGACTCATGGGTCTAAGGTCCCCTCAGGCCTACTCACTTTGTTGCATGAGTCTTGGGCCAGGAGTTGAGGTCGGGGTAGGGTCCCCAGTGCATGGTGGACCCCATTTCGTCCACCCCGTGAGACACTCCCTGAGCATCCTTCAGATTTGCGTTCCCTGCGCGGCGTGGGGACAGTCATTGACACCGAGTCCAAGTCTGGTGCGGTCCGGACCACATCCACACCCAGACGCACACCTATTCCACATCCAGACCTAAACCCAGAGCAAACCCAGGCATAAACCCACACCCAGACATAAGCCCAGACCTAAACCCAGACCTAAACCCAGAGCAAACTCAGACCTAAACCCATACCCATAGCAGACCCAGGCCTAAAGACAGACCTAAACCCAAACCAAACTCAGACCTAAACCCAGGCCTAAAGCCAGACCTAAGCCCAAACCTGAACCCAGACGCAGACCGAAGCCCAGATCCAGACCAAACTCAGACCTAAATCCAGCCCCAGACCACACCCATACCTAAAGAAAATCTGACCAGACCCACGGGAAACCTGATCACATCCACGGAAAACAGAATCCGACCCAGACGCAGAGGCGAGCCAAACCAGATCCGAGGCCCCAACCGGACCCCCAGCTCACCGCGGCACTCCACGATGTCAATCTCGCCAGAGCTGGGCCAACCCCCATATGCGTTCCTCTTGGGCAGCATCCAGATCGCTACATACACACACACACATGGTCACGCATGCAGCAGTCACGAACGTGTGCAGTCACAAACGGATCGATGCGTCACGTCTCGCTGCAGAGTGTCTCAGTGTGGCGTTGTCTCGGTGCTGGGCATCACGGTGCAGCAGGGTGGTTCAGCGCAAGGTGTCTCGGTGCAGGGGCGCCGTCGCTCACCCGGCCACAGCCAGTCGCCCGTGGGCATCTTGGCGGTCACCTCGACGCGCCCGTAGGTGAAGGCGAAGGAGTGGACGGTGCGCAGGCGCGCCGACTGCACCGGGTTCACCACCAGGTCGGCCCCGTTGCCCGAGCGCTCGCAGCCGTAGAACGCGTTGCCCGTGCACGTGTCGGCCGGAGCCGCGCCTGCCGCGCGTCACAACGGACGGGGAGTGTCACGGCGGTCGGGGGAGCGTCACGGCTCTTGTTGTTGTTTTGGTCGCCGACTACCTGACCGAGGTGGACTCCACCGAGAGGCACTCATTCATGGCGCTAACCGCTGTGCCACATCTCCAAAAGACAAAGATCCCCCGCGTAGCCTTCGACAGACTGTGGGGGCAAGTGCTGTAATCCAGCGCCTATGAAGGGCGGCACGGCACACGGAAGGGGCGGGTGGCCAGCATCACGCCCGGCCGCCTTTGTCTCCCCAGTGCTGATCCTGAACACACCACACCAGGTACTCATTTGAGACTGAGTCGACCAAAATTGGCTCGGATAATCCGTCACCGGTGTTCGTAGCACAATGCGCTAACCACTGCACCACCGCTCCACGAAACAACACTAAGTTACATCACCGCGGTCGCTCGTGCCAGGCTAGGTGCACCCTGAGGCCGTCACGTCAGGCGTGTGAAGGCTCGCCGCTCCTGGCGGTAGGAGGTCACGGGTTGACCGACCGTACCAAAGACGCAGACACGGCCCGGACTCGAACCCTCACCCCAGACGTTGAGGGTGCCGGTGCGCACGAAGTTCTCATTGTAGGTCTCCTCCGTGAGCGTGGGGCGGATGAACAGAGTCCCGTCGCGCACGTAGCTGTTGCTGCGATTGTTCGTGTAGTGCTGGAACTCCCAGTTCTAAAGAGAGACAGCCACCAACACGGGAGTCATCGCAACCACTACCACCACGAGGACCACGCAACAAACCACAACGATGACCACAACCATAGGAATGAACACGACCGTCACAAGAATAACCACAACAATAACCACAACCGCAGAAATACACACAACCGTCACAAGAATAACCACAACAATAACCACAACCGCAGAAATAAACACAACCATCACAATAATAACAACAGCAATGCAATAACCACAGGAATAATCACAACCACCACCACGCAACAACCAAAACCATAACCACAACCACGCAACAACCACGATATAACCACCAAAGACGAACATCCCCCATGTAGCCTTAACAGACTCTTGCTGCAAGTGCTGTTAGCGAGCAGCACCTGTGAAGGCCGTCACGGCACACGTGGGGGGCGGTGTGGCCTGGACCACAACCACGATACAACCACCTCCACAAGAAAAAAACACAACCATCTGCACACAATATTTCATCGCTCCATGTCTTCTGTGGTCAGGGACTGGTTAGAGGTCAGGATCAGGCTAGTGGTCAGGGTCTGGGTCAGGCTAGAGATCAGGGTCAGGCTAGTGGTCAGGGAGAGGTTCAGGGTCAGACTAGTGGTCAGGTTCAAGGTCAGGCTAGAGATCAGGGACGGGTTCAGGGTCAGGATAGTGGTCAGGGAGAGGTTCTGGGTCAGGCTAGTGGTCAGGGTCAGGCTAGTGGTCAGGGTCAGGCTAGTGGTCAGGGTCAGTCTAGAGATCAGGGTCAGGATAGTGGTCAGGGGGAGGTTCAGGGTCAGGATAGTGGTCAGGGTCAGTCTAGAGATCAGGGACGGGTTCAGGGTCAGGCTAGTGGTCAGGGAGAGGTTCAGGGTCAGGATAGTGGTCAGGCTAGTGGTCAGGGTCAGGCTAGTGGTCAGGGTCAGTCTAGATATCAGGGACGGGTTCAGGGTCAGGCTAGTGGTCAGGCTAGTGGTCAGGGTGAGGCTAGTGGTCAGAGTCAGGCTAGTGGTCAGGGTCAGGCTAGTGGTCAGGGTCAGTCTAGAGATCAGGGACGGGTTCAGGGTCAGGCTAGTGGTCAGGCTAGTGGTCAGGGTGAGGCTAGTGGTCAGGGTCAGGCTAGTGGTTAGGGTCAGTCTAGAGATCAGGGACGGGTTCAGGGTCAGGCTAGTGGTCAGGCTAGTGGTCAGGGTGAGGCTAGTGGCCAGGGTCAGGCTAGTGGTCAGGGTGAGGGGTCAGCGCGCACCCCTCCGCCGCCCAGGGTGATCTCGTGCTCCCACGTGTCCATGTCGAGTCGATCCCAGAGCTCCTCGAAGACGAGCCCATTGCAGGGCGGGACGGCCTGGTCACAGGACTCGGCGCACGGGAAACTCGAGCAGAGCGACACAGGGGCTGGGGACACGAGGGAACGCCACCATCATCATCATTGATAGCATCGTCATTACCACCGTCGCATAATTCGCCTTGTCCTCCCCCTCCCCTAGTGGCCAAAGCTACGAGTTGGGGGCCGCTTGACAATCATCGTGAGAGATGTTTTCAACAACGGTGTAAAAAAACGAAAAACGAAATTTCGTCTTAAAACTTTCGCGACTGCAGGAATTCATATTCTTGGTTGTTTCGGTAAAGTCACGTAGATAGAAAATAAATTTAAAAATAACGTAATAAAATTGAAAAATATTTTTTTATTTTATATGTTTTTCATTTTATTTTCTATCTACGTGATTTACCGAAAGAGCCAAGCAAACGAAAACCTATCTAAAACACGGATGAAATAAATGTTGAATGAAAAAAATCATTGTAGTAGTGGATGCATTTTGCGAATACGGAGCGTCCCTCCAGTGTTAGATGTCCGAGACCGTGAGCGTAACGAGGATGTGATTAGGGAAAGAGGAGGCCGCGTTCTCTCACAGTCTCGAGGTGCGACCCTGCGAGACAAATCAAATATTGGGGCCATCACCTTGACCGACTGCCGCTGCCCCCTTAGCTGATAATGTCACTACACCACTGCATAGCCATCATCACGATTGAGAAAATATTATCGTCAACAGCACCATCGTCGACATCACCACCGTCGACATCACCATCGTCAACATCACCACCGTCAACATCACCATCGCCAACATCACCATCGTCAACATCACCATCGTCGACATCACCATCGTCGACATCACCATCGTCGACGTCACCATCGTCAACATCACCATCGTCAACATCACCATCGTCAACATCACCACCGTCAACATCACCATCGTCAAAATCACCATCGTCAAAATCACTACCGTCAACATCACCACCGTCAACATCGTCAACATCGTCGTCCACATCACCATCGTCAACATCACCACCGTCAACATCACCACCGTCAACATCACCATCGTCAAAATCACCACCGTCAACATCACCACCGTCAACATCACTATCGTCAACATTACAACCGTCAACATCGTCAACATCGTCGTCCACATCACCATCGTCAACATCACCACCGTCAACATCACCACCGTCAACATCACCACCATCGTCAACATCACCACCATCGTCAACATCACCACCGTCAACATCACCACCGTCAACATCACCATCGTCAACATCACCATCGTCAACATCGTCAACATCGTCGTCAACATCACCACCGTCAACATCACCACCACCGTCAACATCACCATCTTGCCGATGTGTTTGCTTCGACTCGGTGTGCTGGACCATAGTATTTAATTTTATTTTCTACCTACGTGATGACTTTACCAAAATAACCAAACGGTAAGGATTACTGCATTCACGAAAGCTTCAAATCAACGTCGGACCATACTCGATTGCAAACGCGTTTTTTTTTAAGAACTGCTTCTTGTTGTTGTGTTTATTTTGTCGTCCTTCCCCCGCACCTCCGATTAGCACGGTTGCTTACGTATATTGTGACAGAAGTCCAACGTGCATGCGACTGCGTGCGTGCGGATGCGTGTACAGCTTGTTGTGTAGTACAAACCGCATCTGTCGGCTGCACAGATGTCTAGCAGCCTTCTGCCGTCGTTACATTGAGCTGATCTGGCCCGTGCCATACAATCACTCCAAAGATCCAATCACACCATCAGCATAGCAATGTTAATGACCATTACCGTTCTCATGGACGCCATCACCACCATCAATTCGCCAATTACATGTTTTTACCAAGTAAGGCCGTCTGAGCTGTATAACTCTTTTTCATAAGCGACCTGGCCACAAACGATAGCTCAAAGAAGTCAATTATCAGGTCTACATTCGTCGCAGCCGAACACTCTAAACGCGTGATTGGAAATATGGAGGGGAGAAAACCGGAGGACCAGGATAAACAATTAACGCGACCACCACGGGAATAACAGGCACACCTCCAAATATACAGCAGCAGCAACAACAGCAGGCGTCAGGCTGGAACCCACGACCACCTGTGTACCAGGCGAGGTAGTTAACATCTCCCAGCCACCGTGGCCCCTCGCTTCACACGGCCGCCGCCGCCGCCACCAATCACCTGGCTCGGCACATAGCACCCCGGTGCCGAGCAGGGCGCTGAGCGCCACGCACGCCGCCAAGAGGAAGCCGCTGATCGCCATGAGGAGAAGCTCCCGTCGAGTGAGGGACTTCGCCGGACGCCCCATTTATCCCGAAGCAGTTGCCACTGGGTCCTTGAGGTTCTCCCTATCTACGGCTCGTTATCCAGAGATGTGCGTGCTATCGAAGCGAGACTTTGCCCGCGGTCTGTGGTTTTTACCCGGTGAGAGATATTCGCTGGCGGTGGCCACGCGTTTATGGCGACGTGACCTCTGCCACTGCGGACGCCACGCGAAAACAAGATGTTATCTCCCTCGCCTGGTATGCAGGAGGTCGTGGGTTCGAGCCTGACCCTGATGCCTGCTGCTGCTGCTGTAGATTTGGAGTTTTCGTGTTTGCTGTCCCCGTGGTGGTCGCGTGGATATGTCTCTGGGTCCTCCGGTTTTTCCCTCCACATTTAGAAACGTGCGTTTAGAGTATTTGGCTGTTATAAATTTCCACTTCGTTGAGCTATCATTTGTGGCCAGGTCGCTTCTGAAAAAGGGCTACATAGCTCAGCGGGCCTTACCTGGTAAAATAAACAAAAGAGTTTTTTTTTGTTATTGACACGGAGAGAGGGAGGGCAAGCGTGGGGCTGATGATTGGTGAAGGTGGTCATAGAGGTGCTTCTGCGAATTTCGTGGTGGTGAATTGGTGGTGGTGATAATTATGAATTTATGGTGGCGCATTGGTGATGGTGAATTGGTGATGATGGTGGTGGTGATGAGTTGGTAGCGGTGGTGCATTCGTGGTGGTAATAGTGGTCATTTGGTGTTGATGGTGGTACATCGCTTGTGATAGCGGTGATGATGGTGAATTGATCGTGGTGGCGGAATGTTGGTGGATAAATTTAACAACACACGAATGTGCGCAGCATTGCACATGCCAAAACTTTCAGCCTTATCCAGACCACCATCTCAAAAGAACTGAATATGTGTCCGTTTGAAACTTGAGACCACCATCTCCAAGAGTTGAGAAAATGTTGCCATACCAGCAGCTGCTGGTGGTGGTGTTGCATAAAATTGTGGTGATGCTGTTGGTAAATTCACGACGAATTGATGGTGGCGATGAAAGTTACGGTTGGAGAGTAATTGGGGGGGAATGAATGAGTGATGAGTCAATGAGAATCAATGTCTGTAAATTAACAATAATGAATGAGGACATGCATATAATGTGAGCGCTCGTGCCAGGCAGGGTGCACGTCACTTTGAAGGCATTATGTAAAGTGTCGAAGGCTCGCTGGCAGGATGGTACGGGACAGACTCAGGCGTTCTGGTCTGACTTGAGATGGACGGCCTGTGCTCCCCACAGCGCCACCTCGCTGCCTTTTAGCCACCCTGGCTCTCACCTCGTTGTTGTGAGCCTCATTACTCCAACCTCCGCTGTTGTTGGAAGGCGACTGCCTCCAACTGCTCAATAGCCCTCACAGTGCACCTAGCTTGGCACTGCCCGGTAGCGTCCTTTACGAGTCTCCCTTCTCCACAGAGGCCGATCTTGACACCACCGGTACGAGTCATCGGCAAGTCCGCTCTCCTCCACATCCTCTTGTACCACATAAGCCCAGGGGAATGCCATCCTCGACTGCCCACTCTGCAGTGTTCAGACATTCTATAGCTATTTACAAGGTAGGGTCCACTGAGCTCTATAGCTATTTTACAGCAGCGACCTGTACACAATTGATAGCTTAAACGAAATGGCTTATCACATGGAAATGTATTGCAGCAAAAAAAAACTGTGGAATTCCCGGAGTCAGAATCCACGCGACCACCACGGGGAGAGAGAGAAAGAGAGACACGAAAACTCCAAATACAGCAGCAGCAGGCGTCAGGGTCTGGATCGAACCCACGACCTCCTGCATACCGGGCGAGGGATTTAACATCTCCTAGCCACCGTGATGATGATGATGAGAGAGAGACGCAGACTCCAAATATACAGCAGCAGGCGTCAGGGTCGGGATCGAACCCACGAACCTCCTGCATACCGGGCGAGGGATTTAACATCTCCTCGCCGGCGCGGCGCCACGTGACTGTCCGCACGTCGCGTCTCGAGTCTGGTCGCGAGGGGGAATTCATGGACTCATGCCCCCCTCAATCACAGCCTCCGTGATCCTTTGGCAATTGCGTCGAGGTGGGGGGGGGGTCGGTTACCAAGCTACTGGCATCGTAGCTGAGGCCCCCCACCCCCTCTCCCCCACAAGTTAGCCGATGTGGTGCATTGCGATGCGGTGCATTGCGATGCTGTGCATTGCGATGGGGTGCATTGCGATGGGGTGCATTGCGATGGGGTGCATTGCGATGCGGTGCATTGCGATGGGGTGCATTGCGATGGGGTGCATTGCGATGCGGTGCATTGCGATGGGGTGCATTGCGATGCGGTGCATTGCGATGGGGTGCATTGCGATGGGGTGCATTGCGATGCGGTGCATTGCGATGCGGTGCATTGCGATGGGGTGCATTGCGATGCGGTGCATTGCGATGCGGTGCATTGCGATGCGGTGCATTGCGATGCGGTGCATTGCGATGCGGTGCATTGCGATGGGGTGCATTGCGATGCGGTGCATTGCGATGGGGTGCATTGCGATGCGGTGCATTGCGATGGGGTGCATTGCGATGCGATGCATTGCGATGGGGTGCATTGTGATGGGGTGCATGGAGTTGCGGTGCATTGTAACGCGGTGCATTGCGATGGGGTGCATTGCGATGCGGTGCATTGCGATGGGGTGCATTGCGATGCGGTGCATTGTGATGCGGTGCATGGAATTACGGTGCATTGCGATGCGGTGCATTGCGATGCGGTGCATTGCGATGCGGTGCATTGCGATGGGGTGCATTGCGATGCGGTGCATTGCGATGGGGTGCATTGCGATGCGGTGCATTGCGATGGGGTGCATTGCGATGCGATGCATTGCGATGGGGTGCATTGTGATGGGGTGCATGGAGTTGCGGTGCATTGTAACGCGGTGCATTGCGATGGGGTGCATTGCGATGCGGTGCATTGCGATGGGGTGCATTGCGATGCGGTGCATTGCGATGGGGTGCATTGCGATGCGTTGCATTGCGATGGGGTGCATTGTGATGGGGTGCATGGAGTTGCGGTGCATTGTAACGCGGTGCATTGCGATGGGGTGCATTGCGATGCGGTGCATTGCGATGGGGTGCATTGCGATGCGGTGCATTGTGATGCGGTGCATGGAGTTACGGTGCATTGCGATGCGGTGCATTGCGATGCGGTGCATTGCGATGCGGTGCATTGCGATGCGATGCATTGCGATGCGGTGCATTGCGATGCGGTGCATTACGATGTGGTGCATTGCGATGCGATGCATTGCGATGCGGTGCATTGCGATGCGGTGCATTGCGATGCGGTGCATTGCGATGGGGTGCATTGCGATGCGGTGCATTGCGATGCGGTGCATTGCGATGCGGTGCTATACGGTCAAAGGGAAAGTGATATCGCGACGATTGCCGTGTTGTGAAAGTTGACAACAGCCGATATGGTATCGTGACCAAACGGTATCGAAGCCGAGCCGGGTTCGAGAAAATGTGGACCCCCCCCGCCGACGCCCCTGGAATGTTTAAGAGTCGGTGTCATGGCTAGGGCAAGCAGCTCGTCACAGAGGTTACCGGTTCGAATCCAGCGGCCGCTCCCATTACGACTGCGGTGTGTGGAGACCAGCTCACTCACCACTCACTCACGCACTTGCTCACCCACCCACCCACTCATCCACCCACTCACTCGCTCACTCATTTACCCACCCACTCACTCACTCGCTCACTCACCCACCCACTCATTCACCCACTCACTCACTCATCCACTCCTTGACCTAACCACTCACTCAAACGCTAGCTCACTCACCACTCACTCACGCACTTGCTCACCCACTCACACACTCACTCATTCACCCACCCACTCACGCGCTCACTCACCCATTCACTCACCCACCCACTCACTCATTCACCCACCCACTCACGCGCTCACTCACCCACTCTTTCACCTAACCACTCACTCAAACGCTAGCTCACTCACCACTCACTCGCACTCACACACTCGCTCACCCACCCACCCACCCACTCATCCACCCACTCACTCGCTCACTCATTTACCCACCCACTCACTCACTCGCTCACTCACCCACCCACTCATTCACCCACCCACTCACTCATCCACTCCTTGACCTAACCACTCACTCAAACGCTAGCTCACTCACCACTCACTCACGCACTTGCTCACCCACTCACTCATTCACCCACCCACTCACGCGCTCACTCACCCACCCACTCACCCACCCACTCACACACTCACTCATTCACCCACCCACTCACGCGCTCACTCACCCACTCCTTCACCTAACCACTCACTCAAACGCTAGCTCACTCACCACTCACTCGCACTCACACACTCGCTCACCCACCCACCCATTCACACTCAATCATTCACCCACCCACCCACTCGCCCACTCGCTCAATCACCCACTCCTTCACCCAACCACTCACCCAACCGCTCACTCATTCACCCACCCACTCACGCAATCGCTCACCCACCCACCCACCCGCTCAATCACCCACCCACTCACTCTTGTAAATAAAACTGATTCCAATCTATTGAGGTCTCACCTGCAGGTCAAACAAAACAAACTCGCACTTGAATCTCGTGGTGGGTGGGGGGCCCTCGCATCAGAAATCTTTGCCCGCGGTCTCTTGCGTGACGCCCGTGTTTATTGCGGTGTTTACCTCGCGGCGTTCGGACGCGCGTGTACGGGGAATGAACGAGTGGATTGCCGAATGAATGCATGAATGAATGAGAGCGTGACAGAACTTGTTTTTTGTTATATATATAAATGCGTAGTACCTTGGCCCAGAAACGTGGTTGTGGGGGGCGAACGTCCCCCGCCGTCACCGAATTGTCGGGGCTGTTGCCTCCCGACTCCCCCCCGCTACATTTGTCCCACGACCCCCCGGCTGCTCTGTGGGGTCCGGGCTACCGGCCCCCCTCCCACTTCAAAGCCCTCCCGTGCTGTTGACCGCGTCAGCATGGTCCAACCGATGCGCCCGCCTGCTCGACGCTCTGCGACGCGCTGCGCTGTTCAGCAGCGGCGTGCCGCGGTGAGCTCGCTCGCAGAGCGAGGAACCCCGTCCCGCACGCGAACAAAACGGGCGCGGCGCGTCCCCGCCGCACGCTCCACGCGCGCGAGCAAAGGCAAACACGCCGCGATCACTTG